AGTCATACTCTTATACTCTATCTTGTAATTGGTACCATTTTTGTTAGAAAATAGCAGTGAGGGGCTTTTGGTCTGTTATGAGCGTGAACCACCTCCCATGGAGGTACGTGAACATTGAGGTGGCTATTGGAGGAACAAGCTCCAGTGAGCGACTGTCAAAAACTCCCTCTGCCGAGAAATATGTCTGTACGTAAAAAAGATAATGACGTCATATGACGACTCTGATTTTAACAGAACATTGCTTATAACAAAATTATTGATCTTTGTCTGGTAAAGCTGTGGTAATCATTTTTCAATACATTATTTAATAGTGATGTAGTTTATGTTCAAACTTGGTAGGTATTGTCCCTGAAAATCCAATCGAGCCACCTGGGTTTCGTGCAAGACAACTGCCCAAGAATGCAAAAAGTTCACACCAAGTGCAATACTCAAAAGTGCCCTTCCTTAAGCTAATGTTCACTAATGCAGAAAACGAAATAATAATAAACAGAGTTCCCTGACAAATAAAGTGTTCCAGCACAATTACAAAGCTGCATCAAAGCTCAAGTTCACTAATGCTCCCAGTGCAGTGCCAGGAACTCCTTTGAGAACATTTTCACTTCATTCCTCCTTTCAATCATTCATTTCTTTAATTGCCAGTTCAGCAAGTTCTTTGTATTGTACAATGTTTTTCCAATCCTCAGGCAGTAAGTCATCTTCATCTGTAGAATAATCCTACAGAAAACTCAGTTAATTAATTCCAGCCATATCGCCAAGCACTTTCTGAAAAACTGAATAACTTTTGTGAGCATTTAAAAATACCATATTCCTACACAGTTACAAGTGTCTGTAGGTTGAAGAGTTTTGGGCAATGGTCAATCACTTGGGAAATCTGAACATTTGAAAACCTAAAGGTATTGTGGTGTAGCCAAAAACCTTTAACTTCCCTCAAGCTTCCTCACACAGGGATTGATGAACAAACGTTTTTGATATTTTCTTAGTTCACATCTAATCATTGAATTTTGTTCAGAAAACAACCATACGGTTTCTCTGAGAAGGTGATACCACAGAGTGAAAAAGACGTCAGCTTTCTATGAGTTCAAACTTGCACCTTAAAGGGCAGTTATCGCCACACAGATGCAACGGATATTTTGTTGAATATTGGACATCAAATAAACTCATCGAAAGCTGACGCCTGCAGGAGTTTGACCTGATATATTTCTTGATACCTTTATCCTTTACCCTTATCCATGTGTGTCAACTGGACACTGGTAGAGTAAGTAAGCTAGCACTTTCTTGAATTTAGGTCCTAGCATTCTTGGAAGCGCCAAAGTTTATAGTTTGGTGCACTTGCAGCCAACTCCCACCCCAGATGTGATAGCTGTGACTAGAGTTGTTATGCACCCCCTATTGCTCTGGAAGGACTTAAAAATGTGCTCCTTATTCAAGGTGGGTGTGCAGGAGTGAGGTATCTTCAGCAGCACTTTCTATGCATCTTCTTTCTTGGGATCTTCATAGATTATCGAGAAATATATTTGTAGTAGTGTAGACAAGGGCACATTGCTTGTTTGTCTTGCAGTAGATAATTGTTCACGTTGCTTCTGAACAATTTTCCAAAACTTCATTTGCCAACCAGTGAACGTAGTGGCATAAATTGGAATTTTTCATGTAGTTAACTACGTAAGAAATGTTCCTTTGTTCAGACTCTTAAGGTGGCAAATATGCGGACATAAGGCAAAAATTGAGCGAAATATCTGTAGGTGTGCAAAGCCCAGAAAAGTAATAACCTAGATTTTGTTTGGTATCAAATGACTCCTACATCCATGTAATTAACTTCAAAGTCCAACTCATGGTCACTCCATGAATTGATAAGGTGCTAGGTTATCAGTAATATACAGTTGTAGGTAGCCATAAGGGCGTGCGTGCACATGCGCAAACACTTGTTACTTGTCAATGGAAACTCTGATTGCCATGAAACTTTGCAATAATGCTAAAAAATGTTAAAGCTGTGTTCTGAACTAAAAAAAACACAACAATGACTGATGTACTGTCAACCATGGGCATTCACTTAGGATCACAGACTACAAAAATTCAGAATTTTCTTTCAGTGCAGCAATCTGGTCTATTTTACTACAGAACACAGCTCAAATCACATGCAATTTGCACTGAAAATTTCATGAAGATAGAAGCAATACTTTTGTTGGAGTTATTACTGTTTTTGTGACTCATAGAACTAACTTCCGTGTCTTGAGAAAATACACTATTAAACAGTATAACGGTAAAATGGCCAGAACGGTGGTTCCTTACATCTGTTGTTACATCTAGAATTGTCCTGCTCCATATGTTGTGCCCTCTTTTTGCTTTTTTGTCTTTTCAAACCCCTTTTTCTTTTTTTTTAGAGCTGTTCTCCTTTTTTTGAAGCCTTCGGTGGTCTTTCGCTCTGCATGGTATAACCTTGTGCTGTCTACCCGTCTGATGCCAAGCTCCTGAAAGATGCCTGGTAGCACCTCGAGTGTTTCTAGCAGTCTTGTGACAGAAATTTCACCATTGAAAAGGCAGATGGCAAAATACACTGCAAGCTTCACTATGGCAAGTCCTACATTGCCCTCCTTAGGACAGAGACCCCAAATGACTCCATGGAGGGACTCGTTCTGGTTTTGGTCTTTCCTGTTTTGCACCTTGCTAACAGTGCAGGATCACTCAGCCTCTGAAATATGGGCTTTACTGCTTCCACAATTGCAGCATTCAGGACCTTCTCTTTGTCTGTTTTTTAGTTTCTTCTATCCTTCAGGTACCCTCACCAAGTTTCGGAGCAATAGCTATGTTGGGGCTTAGCATCAGTTGAGGCCCGGTGATACAGTATTGCCCATACAGCTCTCTGGGTTGCCTCCACATTGCCCAGATTATTCTTGATGGCTCTGTAGTAGAACTTTTGCATATTTTTCATAGTGTTCTCAGTCAACCTTCCAGCACCTCCCCAACCTTTTCCATCTGAAAGAGGTGGGGCTTTCTTTTTCAGTTCTCGAAGAGAGCTGCCCATTCCCTTGAAACATGATTTACACAATCAACTTTGGAAATATTATATGTCACAACCTTTTTGGCTTCATCATATGCTTTACTGTCACCATCCCCTAAGAATTTGACATACTGTAAGTCTTTCTCCTCTGATCTCGCAAAAACAACTTTGGCACCCTCCTGTTCCATGGCCGGCGATGATCCTTCATAATTTTTTTCACATTCACTTTCATGTTGCTGTTTTCATTCTCTGTGCTCCCTTGAGTTTTTATCAATCTTGTCCCCCTTCATTGCACAAGCTTTACAGTATTTTGACATAATATGGCAGTCTAATACCTTTCCTGTGACAAGGGACATGGTGCAATATACTCCATAACGAGAAGAATACCCTCTTGTAAGCCATGTGCCATCACATGAAACTGCAATTTGCTATTTACCATTTTGATCTGGCTCGTAACACTCCTTCACCTCCTCACAAGCCACTTGCATGCTTTTTTCAGCAAGTTTCTTAACTTTTTCAACAACCTCTTGGACACAAAGATCATTGCTGGATTGCTCCATACCTTTTGGCATGTTTAGTACCTCGCTAAGTTTGTTCATAGCCTCTCTCCCTCTTCCAATCCTTCTCATTGCAACCACTATTCTTGTGTTTACTTCAAAACGCCCCTTTCCAGATGGCCTCTTTGAGGAATAAAATTCTTTCTCAGTTTTACACTTTGCACACCGGAAAACAAGACACGATGCATAGCCCTGCTTTCTCTTCAGCAAATCAAACAGTTCTATATGTCCAGATTTACACGATGAACAAATGCAAAATGTCAATAACACATTGTTCAAGAGTTCAATGTCAATAAACCTGAACCCTACTTGATTTTCTCCCAATTTGTCGTCTTCTTCTTCATTGTCACTAAAATAGGTATCAGCAGTTAGCTTTCTAGCCCTTACACTTGCACCTTCTTGATCAGAGTCTGACTCAGAGGTCTCGTCTGACTGATCATCTTCTTAAAGTTCTTCTGACTGTGAAGTACCCTGGCAGCCTCCTTCATTGTCAAGTTTAACGTACTTATTCCCTCGAAATCTTCGTTTTTTCCTCCTAACTGATCTTGCTTTACCAGGTTTTGCTTTGGAAGACATTTTTTACTGACTCTCTAACGGTAAAACCAGAGAAATTTTTTCAAGAAGTTGTAAAAGCAGCAAGACGGCGGCTGGTTTAGAAAACGTGACCATAAACTTGTCTCCAGTCTCCCACAACATTTGTCAAACAATATGCGCTGGAACATTTTCATTCTGTCCCATTTCCAGGCCGTTTACGAGCGATTTCTGAATGTCAGCAACGTGGTTGTCATAGCAACGGACTAATTTATTCTTAATTATCTCTAAAAAGCCAAAAGAATTGTATTACGCACCTAAATATTTAATTTTTAGAGTCCAGAAACCAATTCTACAGGCATTGAGGTGCACAAAGGAGCAGTACTTGTGAAATTAGTTTTTGGTCAAAAAATTGACATCTTTTCATATATTTGCCACCTTAAGTATTGAATGTGGATTGTCAAATAAAAGAGATTTAAATATTACTGGGTGGGTATCACTTGTTGCTTTTGCTGTCACTGCAATGAAAGGGCACCCTGGTGGTGAGAATGTGACCTTATGCCGCTTTGAAAACCACACTCTAAAAGAAGCAGGTTTTAGCTTTTGGATAGTCCCTATTAACAAAACAAATATGCCAAAGTTATATTCACATATTTTTCAACTTTACCCTCCTTGTAAATTACAGTAGGTTGGTACGCATAGTGACAGTTTTGAAATGTTACATTTCGTATATTCGTATCTTAATATTCTGCCTGAACTTTGTTCCCATAGACAAGAATCATTGATCGTTGACTCTAAGT